TTTGTCTGTTTCTTACCAAATCCTGGTCCTACTAAAACTGAAGGATGGCTACTGGCTGAGTCCCGGGAGGTTGCCAAGATACCAGGCCATCCTATCAGGTAGTCCAAATGTTAACCTTAAAACTATATTCACTTTAAATCCAGCAACTCTGTTGCCAGAAGATGAAAACAGGCTAATACAACATGACTGCTCAGAGATCTTGAGACTCTTTACTCCAGTAGGTTGGATCTGCTTGGTCAGCCTAACAGAGCTGGACTGGAACCTCTTCACCAATGGGAGCAGCTTCATCGACAGCAGCCAGCAGAAATCTGGAAATGCTGTGGTCATGCAACCATAGGTACTAAAGGCTGAGGCTTTGCCACTGGGAGCATGAGACCAGAAAGCCCAGCTAATTGTTCTGACAAGAGCTCTCAGACTTCCAAAGAAATGGAGGTAAACATTTATACTGACTCAAAATATACTTCCATGATTGTTCGAGTACATAGAATTCTCTAGAATGCAAGAGAGCCCCTCATAGCTAGAGCAAGACATTAAACAGATCCTTGATAGAACAGCATCAATACAGGATGTGGCCTATCCAAAGCAGATGGCGATCATGCACCCGTTCCAGTCATCAGAAGACTGATGCTTATGTGGCCCTGAGGAATCAGGCTGATGCTAGGGGAGCCTGGTAAGCAAACTGTTTAACATGGCCCTAAAACCTCAACTTAAACCAGACTAACACAAACCTTCTTCTACGGAGGAGGATGAGAAATGGGCCAATGGATGAAGTTTCGATTCCTGGGACAGAGCTGCCAAGTGGAGATGGGATTCCCACGGGCTCATCCTCTTGCCTGACCTACTTGAGAGTATTCACCATGGGAGGACACTTTGGTAAATGTCATCAAGCCCCACTTGGGAAGGACCATGCCTCCAACAGACCATTCAGCAAGTGACTCAAAACTGTGTCTTAAGTACCTCAAACAATCCAAAGATCAAAAGACGGCTGACTTTGAAAGGAACACAACATGTAAAAACACAGCCTTTTGATGCTTGACAAGTAGATTTTACTCAAAAGCCCTGAGCCACAGGAAACGTCAGATGGTACTGCTAGACACCTTCTCTGGGTAGGTTGAAACTTATGCCACTAGAACACACACATACACAGCCAAGTGTGGAGGTACTAACCTGTAATCCCAGCGGCTTGGGAGGCTAAGGCAGGAGGATTCCAAGTTTAAAGCCAGACTCAGCAACTTAGTGAGGCTCTGAGCAACTTAGAGAGACCTTATCTCAAAATAAAAAATAAAATAGGCTGGGGATGCGGCTCAGTGGTAAAGTGCCTTTCAATCTCTGGTACCAAAAAGAAAACACACACACACACACAAAAAAAAAAAAAAAAAACTTCAGAAATAACTAAAGTTCTCTTGAATGATCTGATCACAAATTACAGACTCCCCTCCTCAATGCAAAGTCTCTTTCTGCATAGGTGGCCCAGCAATTGAGCAAAGCATTTGCTATCCAACAGAAGCTACCCACATTATGTAGACCCCAATCTACAAGGAAAACAGAAAAGATAAACTACACCTAAAAGAAAGCTGAGGCTAAATTACGGTAACAAGCCCACCTGCAGTGGGCTAAAGTGCTGCCAATTGCTCTCGTTTGGATAAAGTGACCCCAGAAGCAGGCTTAAATTGAGCCCTAGAAAAAACAGTGTATGGGAGAAACCTCCTGGTACCTTGGGGCAGGGGAGTGGAAAATGGGAAAATGTAGATATGTAGATAGAGTGAAAAAACTAGATTAAAACAGTATGAACTACAAATCAGTCAAATATTCACTGCTATATGAAGGGATCCTTTCAGGTCCCAATCAAGTTTGAAATCACCTCTCCCTCACTTCAGGTAAAAGTCCAAAAGAAAAATGACAACAGGTTTTAAAAACCTTCTATTCATAAGACCCCTCCCTTGGTTGCCCATTTTTAGCAGGAAGTAGCTTGGAGATGTTGTTGCCCATTTTTCCATAGAAATGGAAGATAGAAATTGACAGTGGGGAAATGTAAAAGGGTTCCACTTTGTGCTTTGAATATAGCCTTTCCTCTTTGCCACTGCTGCTTATTTTTAAACTTATATTTTTTTCCTTCCTCTTTTCCCTCTCCCCATCTCTAACCATAGAGTAGCAAGATTGACATTTTTTCCCATCTTAGACCAAATTATCTATCCTTCATGGACCACAGGAATGAAGGAATCCAGACTTCAGGGCTGGTACCAGTGGGGCCTAGAAATGGCTGTTTCTCAAGGCTGCAAATGAATTTTGAGTCCTAACAGGGCATAGCCAGAGCATAGCCTTTGTATCTCCTCTTAAAAAACCCTCTGTTCCCCCTGACAGAAGAACAGCCTCTGAGGCAGGAGTTCCCTGTGTTTTTCCTTTGCTAACAAAGCAATCAAATTAATTTCTCCTTTTTCTCAAAACCTTGTTCTCACTGAGCACAGCGATGCACACCTATAATCCCAGTGGCTCAGGAAGATAAGGCAGGAAGATTGCAAGTTCAAAGTCAGCTTCAGCAACTTAGCAAGACCCTAAAACCTAGGGAGACCCTGTCTCAAAATACAAAATAAAAATGTCTGGGATGTGGCTCAGTGGTTAAGCGTCCTGAGTTAAAACCCTGGTACCAAAAGAAACCAACAAACAACGATAAAAAACAAAACAACAACAACAAAAAATCCACCTTTTTCTCACTATTGGATCAGCAATGGGAACAAGGACTGAGTGTTGGTATCAATCTTTCAGTCCTGGTCTGACCCATACAGGTGACAAAAGGACTTCTTGATTCCACAGACTATTTTCTTTCTTTATAAAGCCAGTTTGTTTGGTTTGTCTACCAAAAGCACTACAGCTGGTAGAGTAAGGATCTCCAAAAATCATCTCCTCCACAAAAGTGGGGATGATATTGGCAAAATCATTAGAACCAATACTTTTCAGAGCTCTGGAAATTAACCAAAGGCAAACAATAATCCAGGGACCAATAACTTAAAAAAAAAAAAAAGGCACCACTCGTTCCCTATTCCAAGATGGCTGTCATTATTTGATGTGTCAGGAAGTTCCCTAGAGAATCCCACTCACAAGACTTGAATTTATTTGACTGAACCTTGAGATTACTCATTGTTTCCAGCCTTTTCTTTGGGTGCATTTGCTGGGGGAAGAGGGAAGAAGAAGAAAAGGAAAAACAAAATCACAATGATTATATAATGTTGTAGCTGCCTAAGGCATCGGTAACAGCTGGAGCAAATACCAAATCAGTAAGATGGTTAACAGTTTTCCTGCTCAGATTGTAAGTAGTTTTGTCTCATAGATGAGGAGAAATGTGAGTATCCTAAAACCTTCTTTTGAAATCCATGCAGGAAGAAGGTCAAGAAGAGAAGGAAGTCTTTAAACATACTCACAGTTGGGTTGAGAGGTAGGAAATTCTGCATTAAAAGAGGAGGGGGGGAAGCAAAATGTGTGCAGGTTCAACATTTATCTGTGTGACCTTGAGCAGATCATTTCACCTCTAGGAGCTTTAATTCCTTATCTGTGAAATTGGGAAAATCCTTGGTGAAACTAAAGATAGGGGACAAAGGTGTGGTAATGACTACAAATTACCCTGAACTTATGAATTTATTTAAACAATTAGGCCTTAGATAGAGTCTTGTCTTCTAGGTTTAGTTGGCATCTGAGGACTATGGAAGAATGGACTCAGGGAAAAGCCATGCTTTTAAGAGCTTACTCCCCTTCCTGAAATATCCAGGAGTTTTATCACTCTGTAGAAGCCACTTTATTAGATTGAAGTAATATGTGAACTCACTGTAACTTAACAAGAAAGCAAGAACAGAACAGGTAGAGATTAGATACATGAGGTGTTCTTTCAGGCTGTGGGCAGCAGCTGGGAAGGGCCTGAGGTCTCCACACATGCCTGCTTGCCTTTCCAGTTTGTTCCATCATGTTATGACACAGCGAGATGCATTTGCTAGGTGCAGCCACCCAATTTTGGAATTCCCAGCCTCCATAACCATAAGCTAAATAAACCTCTTTTCAAAAATATAAATTACTCAATCTCAGGCACTCTGTTATAGTAACAGAAAACATACTGAGACAAGTGCTATGTACAGAAGGCAATGCTTCTGAATAAAGAGTCCTACCTCCTGTAGTCCATACCTCCAAAAATTCTCCCAGAAAAATGTGAATATTAAAATTAATAATCAATAAATTTGAATCAACAAACTGGCACACAATTGACTTCCCAATCTTCCACAGAGAGGTCTTTGCCCAGCATCCAGAGCTATGCGGGAGACAGATTTGGTTTCCATAATACCTCATTATTAATAATATTGTGCCAAATAAGATGAAGTTTCATGGCAATTGTTTGGATAATTCAACTGAAATCACCTAAATGTCTGGAACACTAGGGTTTTATTGATTCATTATGGTAGAATCATTTCACTAGATATGGACATCCTCAAGAAATGATCCTATAGTTTTCTCTACACTATCACTGTATTATTTCCTATTACTGCTCTTGCAGGAGTGTTATCACAAACTTAAAGACTTAAGACAATTTGATATTCTATAGTTTTAGAGATCAGAAGTCTGAAATGGGTCTTTCTGGACTGAAATCAAGATGTTGGCAGGGTTTTGTTCCCTTGGGATGCTCTATAGGAAAATCTATTTCCTCATCCTTTTCTAAAAGCCACTTGCATTCCTTTTGTACCTTTAAAGCCAGCAGGGTAACATCTCCCTAACTCTGACCCTTCTGCTTCCCAAGTTCTCTTATAATGATACAGATGTCTACATCCAGACAAATACAGATAATCCAGAATAATCTCACCATTTTAAAGTCCTTAACTTGGTCACATCTACAAAGATTCTTTTGCTGAGTAAGGCAACATATTCATGAGTTCCAGTGACTCATTCTGGGCACACAGCGAAACAGTGGTCCTCTACTTAGGAAACAGTGGTCTCTACTTAGGAAACAGTGGTTCTCTACTTACCAATTTCTGAAAGTGCACAGGGCTTCAGTGAGAATCCAGATACCACATCCTTCAGTACCTTGATTCTGGTAGGTGTTCCACTTAGACTGCGCTTTAATAGGCAGTTGTTCCTGAATGTAAAGAAAGGAGGTTATTCTGCATCTTGCACTTGAAGGTGTATGAAGCTGTCCAGGTAGTATTTGGCACTGAAACGATCCATGTTCAGTAGAAAATAAACAAGGCAATCAGAAGCCAGAACAATAACCTTTATAGTGAGTGGGTTAGGGGTTTGCATTACTGATAAAAGGGACATCCTTTCCCTCTGCAGAAGGAAGTTTATCCTGATAATGGGATGGAAGACCCTAAATTTTTATTCCACAAATACAGCTTATCTGAGGACCAATTGGAGCTTATTCTCTTTAAAGAAAATGACAGGCAAATAAGGAAGGTAGTTAGGACAAAATACCCAGTTGGTTTTTAGTTGGGGGGAAAAAAACAAGCTATGAAGAATACAAATAATCCAAAATGCACCATCATAAAAGACACACACTATGAATTTGACTTACCGATACTCAGCAAAATAAAAATTTGGGGTGGCATACGTGAAAAATTGGCAGCGAATATCATTGGTGCACAATTTTTGGCATTCTTTAACACTTTGAACCTTAGTCATATTAAAATTGGCTCCTCTCATATCAATTCCCTCATAAGTGTCTCGGTGGCAAGCTGTACAAATGAAACATGTAAAGTCAGTAAAGTTCCTGTCTAGAGGGAGCCCATTCCCCATCATTTGGGCACGGTAATTTTAAAGGTAATATCCCCATTTTATCTAGGGGATTTAAATTTTCTATTATATTTCTACATTGTCAAACTCTGCTGGAAATAAATATAACCCAAAATGATTTTCCCTTAGAATACCATCATTAAAAAAGGGGGTTATTTTGCTTCCTAAACTGTAAGATATACACAACAATACAGGTAACAATACATTGAAATTATCAATGGGCACTGGAAAGTAAATTAGGCAATGATAACAAGGATCCTGATTATGTGTGCCAAAGATCTGTGTTATTAAACAGACTAATGTGCCTTTGACCTCCTGCACTTAGTGAAGGAGATTCTTTATCTCTGCTGTATTTCTCCACTTTTGACTACTCAAGTCTGATTATGAGTTATTATCTGTAAGCCCTGACATTGACCTCTCTGTGTCAAATCTTTATAAAATGTGGAGAGTTCTTGTACATGCATGTTAAAACAGCTTCCACTTTCGTTCTAAAAGTTTGTTCAATTCTATTTAAGTACCCTTTTAATTGAAATTTATCTGATCTGAAAAAAATGTACATAATTAACAGTGAACCAAATTAGTCTTTTTTTAAAATCAATTTGTTAGACCCTTGGTTAAAGAACCAGTATAACTAGCAGTGTAAACCCTAATCTATTTCATATATATATATATATATATATATAATTTTCCACTCTTAAAATGTGTGAATCCATAAAACTAATTTTAAGCCTGGGAAGGTCAGAAAATGTACACAGTTGCAGGAAAACATTATATTGAGATGGGCAGGGGAGTGGATGACCTCCTTCAGGTGTTCCTGAAGATAGGACTCTGTAGGTTATAGAAAAAAAATCTCTTTTAAGTTTACTACTGATGAGAAAAACAGGCGAAGGGTTGGGGTGGGATAATTGCAAATGAAAACTCTTCATTATGATTATACAAAACCTTTAAATCTACCTCTAATTTTTTTTTAACTAGAATTGATCCTGAGTTTGGAGACTTTGTGTACTTGCTGGGAGTTTTTTGTTTGTTTGTTTATTTTCACTTATTTAAGATGTTTGGAGAGAATGAAAAAGGAATTTTAAAATCAAGCTAGTGAGTTGACTGATTTGGGGCATAAATTAACAATAATTAAATAGTATTGAAAAATAGCACAATATTTATTATTCTTTAAATATTGCTGTAAGATACAATAATTGGAAATAATACCAAATTATACTAGTATATAAACCTGATCTTATACATAGGAAATGTACTTTGCCTCAGGGTAACTACATCTATTACACTGGCTTAGTCAGGCCTTCAAATTTATAATGAAGGCCCTGCCACCCCTGGTTAACTGGTTAAAATTCTAATTGAAGGCTCAAAATGTGGCTTATTCAAAGAGTGGTGTTAGTGGGGGAGGAAAAGGTGACTTCTGAAATTTGAACCCACAAAATTAATGGTATACAGTAAAGATACAATAGTAATGATAGGTAGTCCCAGCATAGTTACTTTAAGATTCCACCAACCCATCAGTTGAGAGGATCTTTTCATCACTATTCACTTTCTGGCCGGTCCCAGTGTCACTAAGAAACACTTCCTTTGTCAAATTGTTTAGGATGATGTTGGAAATTGTTTCCTAAGATATCAGTTGCAACAGGTGTGGAACTTAATCCTCTAGCATCCCAGTTTTCAGATTCCTTCTAAGAAGAATTATTATTAGCCAGATTTATAGAACCCAGTCCTTCAGTTTGGGTTGAATGGTATTCAACAAGGTTTCTTAAACTCTTGTCAATGGCACTATTGACATTTGGTGGCACCAGAAAATTCTCTATGGTGAAGAATGTGTAGCACCATCTCTGGCTTCTGCTCATTTTATATATATATATATATTATAATCTCCCCTACTTAACACTACCAAAAGCATCTCTAGGTATTGCCAAACGTTCCCGAGGTGGAAGGGAGGGTATAAAATCACTGCTGATTGAGAACTACTGATAAGAACTGCAGATTACCTTCAAGTGAACTGGGAGGGAGATGGTTTTCTTTTATTGTCTTATCTGAACTCAATAACAGACTATCCTTTGCCTATGTTTTCACTTTCTGCAAATATTAAACTATACTACTAAACTCATAAAAAAAATAGAGGCTCCTTAAGCATGTGTGTACTGACTGATATGTTGACTGATAAAGACAAGAGAATTGTCAAGATAAACATGCTTCCCTCTTTACATCCATTACACTACCTCATCTTTGTTATTTTTTTTTAGTGCTCCCTTCCAAAAGAGCACAGCAGTACAGACTTTGAGCAAAAGCTATTTTAAAGGAGATCAGTTATTAACTCAAATTTAGTTAAATAATAAAATGCACGTCTTACCACTTATTAGGTGGCCACACTGCTTTAAGGAATGCCCAGAGACTGCATTTTTCTTATGCACCCTTGGTAATGTTCCGGTAACACTGTCTTTCAAGAAGCAGCCAAACCTGTTTTTAAAAGTAGCTTCACTCAGGAAGTAGAATCAATAAACATACACTAAAGAAATGTCTAGCATTTTCTACACATTACTAAATGAAACCAGGAATAAAAAAATTAATGTTGTTTCCCGACATTTGCTAGAAAAACACTCAGAAGTGATTGTGTAATATCTGGTGGGCTCTGTAATACCTCACATAAGCATTGTTTTTCTTCGTGCTCACAGAAAGTCAGTCATATTAGAGTTGATTGTTCCTATCTTTCTAAACTTCCAGGGTGATTCCCAACTGGTGATTTTTTTTTTTTTTTTTTTTTGGTAACAAGGATTGAACCTAGGGGCACTTAACCACTGAGTCACATCCCCAGCCCTTTTTATTTTTTATTTTGAGACAGGGTCTTTCAAAGTTGTTTAGAGCCTTGCTAAGATGCTGAAGCTGGCTTTGAACTTGGGTTCCTTCTGCCTCAGCCTCCAGAGCTGCTGGGATTACAATTGTGTTCCACCACAAAGAGCATGGTGATTATTTTTATAAATAATTTACTTAAAATTTAAATCAGTAATAGGAGGTGGATCTCTATATAGTACTTATCATTCTTATCAGTTCTTTGTAATCTACATCTACTGGAAGACTTCTTTCTGTCTTTAATGTCAATCTTAATGTTTATTTCATTATTTATAAGAATTCTAGAATTCAGCTTTTAATGTGATGCCTCTCACAGTCTGAGTTTTCTGTACAGTTTAACATGTAAGATCAGAGAATGAGTATTGAATTTCTAGTTCTTAAACTCAAATAGAGTGGGAGATGAGAAAAGAGTTATGGGTATGAAAAATGGAAACAAAATATTTTGTTCTGGATATTGATCAAAATGAAAGAAAATTAAGATGAAGCTATGAGTGTGTACAATAAGCATCTTTACAAACTAATTAATATTTTAATCATTATTTTTCAAATTCTTTTTCAAACTGTACATAATACATCCTCCCTCTTTCTCTCTCTCTCTCTCTCTCTCTCTCTCTCTCACACACACACACACACACACACACACACACACACACACCCTGTACACTCTAGGTAACCAAACTGGCTTACTGTAGGCACCGATCACTAGTCCTGGGTCTTACACAACTGTGTTCTCAACAAAATGCTTGATTCATGTTATATCTTTTTCTTTTTCTTTTTTGGTACTAGAGATTGAACATAGAGATACTTTACCACTGATTTACATTCCAACACTTTATTTTATTTTGAAACAGGGTCTCATTACGTTGCTGAGGATGGCTTCAAATTTGTGATCCTCCTGCCTCAGCCTCCTGAGTTGCTGGAATTACAGGCATGTACCACTGTGCCGAGCATTTTATATTTTATTAAGACGAAACTATTCACAAATGTGATAAGTCAGACAGTTAACTATATATTTCCTGGTGTAGGTGAAATGTTTGCCTATTATTAGACCCTTTCTTGAGACAATCTCTTGATGATTTTTTTAAGTGCTTTTTTCTTGAGGCATTGGGTTGAAAATAACTGGCTTCTACTACTTTAAGTCAATTCAGTGATGTTTTTTTTAAACACAGTTTCCTAGGACCAAGACACTGGTTCAGTAGGTCCAGCCTGTGGCTAGAAGTCTGCTTTTGTAAGTCCCACTCCAGGGAATCCTGATGAAGCTGGTCTTTGAACTCATTGGAGAATCCTGTGAGATACGTCAGCTTTTTTGCACATCTGATACCATTTTGAAAAATGACTGAATTGGCCCATAATGAAATGCAAATTCTTACTTTTTAGCTGGCTCCTTAGTTAAACTTGCTGGAAGAAAACTGAATAGCAAACACCTGGGGTGGAATGTGCACATCATCTGACAGTGCTGAATATCTGGGCTGTACAAGGAAGTGACATCCCCACCTCTGAAGAAAGTATTTTGATATAGTTGAATCAGGCAGCCTGTGATATAATCATTAAAAGTTAATGTGGAATCAATGCAAATAATAATTATAACAGAAATATATTGCCTTCTTTTTTTTTGCGGGGAGGGGGCTGTGTACCAGGGATTGAACTCAGGGGTACTCAACTACTGAGCCACATCCCCAGCTCGATTTTGTATTTTATTTAGAGACAGGGTCTCACTGAGTTGCTTAGCACCTTGCATTTGCTGAAGCCGGCTTTGAACTCTCCATCCCCCTGCCTCAGCCTCCTGAGCCACTAGGATTATAGGCTTGTGCCACCACACCTGGCTGTATGTTGCATCCCTAACCTTCTTTCTTCTTCTAGTGACTGCACAAAGATCTTTATAGCATGACTTTGATTATAGAAGCAGAATGAAACATATTAAGGCAATTATTTGAACAACATACAATATTATTTAATGTCATTTTAGAAAAGTACTTCTGTATAAAAAATTGGATAATTGTTAAATCATATAATAATTTGCAGATCAATGATCAATTATCCCCAATAAAATATACTAACTTGATTTCTCCCTGTTGCCTAACATGCTATGAAAATAAGCCCTAAGCATAATGATATTTGATCTATTTTTCAAAACTTTCAAAACAAATATCTCCCTAGATAATCAATAACTCTGTAAGGAAAGCTTGAGGCAGACTTTATTTTCTGCATCTGACATGTATTTTTTTTAAAGAAAGAAGTTAAATAACTAGGTCTCAGAGTGTACAAATTTGCCTAAGATCTATAGTTAATTAATGTCCTGGGACACAAACTGAGCCTTTCTAATTTCAAATTTTGTTTCCCTTTTCTAGCATGCAATGTTAAATGTTGTTCTTCAACTCAGTTTAATTCAAGCAAATTATTTTTTGTTAAGATAATTTCTAGATAGTTTAAGCAAATGCATGCACACACTAAATCAAAAATAAAATTTCAACCACTTGCTGTTTGGAATTAATCACAGTTCTTAATTACTTTGCACCCCACATATTATTAGAGAATTGTCTTTACTGGCTTTCCCATCTGAATTTGGATTTACCTTGAAAGGTAATTTTATTAATCAAATTCTGATTAATAAACTTTCCAGTTCAGATAGTACATCCATTTTAGTCAATCAACTGTTAGTTAACCAGGCAATATTCCAATAGCAACTGTCTATACCCTAGTGCGGTAGGCACTCTTCAATTTAAATAGTGTGTATTTTTGAGTTGCCTTTCAGAAAAGGGCAACTCAGATAAAATGTATTTCCTTGGGTTTTAACATTTTATCTGCCCCATTCTAGCTGTCTGGGAGCTCTGGCCCTGAGACCCATTTGATAACCAGACCAGCAAGATTGCTTCTCTTCCTCTTGGCATTGTGGCTAACAAGCTTACCACTTGGATAAGGTCTATATTTGGCAGGAGCATAAATCTCTTTGGGTTAAAGCTTCTGGGGATACAAGTTCCCAAGGGTGTATGCCTAGATTTTGTACATGCACAAAACACGGAGTAGTTGGCCCAGGGGCAATGCTAACCATAAAAAGCTTTGTTGTTTAGACAGTTGGTGTTTTGGCTTATTCATAATTATCAAGCAGCCACATGGTCCTGATTGTAAGGCACTTACAAAGGTATAAACTATGACCAATGCTGGCCTGGGCGTTCCCATTCTGCAGTTGAGTCTTTGTGAACTGCCATGTCAGTCAGGGCACCTAGAAATGTATCAACTTTGGAGCTGAATGGAAAGAAAGTTCTAGTGCATTCCTGTCTATCCTCTAATCATCATAGCTTTCATAGTTTTTACATGTCCCTGAACATTGAGCAGATTGTTTGGTCTTGTTAAAAAAAATTACATGATCAATGAGGAGAAGCAAAGCATTCTAATTTTTTCAAAAAATTAAGTGACATCTGGGCAGGGTGGCACACACCTGTAATCTTAGCAGCTTGGGAAGCTGAGGCAGGAGGATTGTGAGTTCAAAGCCAGCCTCAGCAAAAAGTGACACTAAGCAATTCAGTGAGACCCTGTCTCTAAATAAAATACAAAATAGAGCTGGGGATGTGGCTCTGTGGTCAAGTGCCCCTGAGTTCAGTCCCCAGTACCAAAAAAAATAAAAAAAAAGAAAAAGAAAAAAAAGAAGTTAGGTGACAAATATAAAAAGATAATCTACTAAAGAAATAAAAGTGATTAGTAAGTATATGAAAAATGGTAAGAATCACGAATCCATATAAGATAAAACAAATACATGTCAATTTACCCATAAGGTTAGCAAAAAGTCAAAATTAAAGAACCAGTGTTTTCATATTGATTTTGATTCCAAGTAATAGAAAAACTAGTTCAAAGTAGCTTGGATACAAATGAAATTTATTGGTCCAGAAGCCAAAAAGCCTGTGGTAAATCTGGTTTTAGGAGTAATTGCATAATATATTCAATGTATAACATCAGTACACAATTTGTCTACATCAATTTTCTCTGTTCTGTAGTGGTACCATTGATCTCATTAGGAGCCTTATTTCTAGGTCTAAGCCAAAGCGTTATTACAATACTTTGGCTCTATTGGGTCATTGCAGCCAGCAGGATGTGTGTACTTCCTGATTCAAGTCTGGCTGGGACATAAGCTCTGGCTCTGGTGTCATTAGCAGAAACCACATGGACCAAAACTGAGAGGCACCAGATCTCCAGAAATAAATTTGGATACTGTTGCCTAAAAGGTGACAATGTGCCAGGTCACAAAGCTACAGATGCCTATTAGAGTTGACCTAAGCAGATAATGAGCATTCTCACATGCCAGTGGGAAGACTTATACTTCTTTACAGTATTAATGTGTTTTTTACATGGCAATGATTATGGTACAGAAATGCAATTAGGGGTTGAGGGACAGATGGAGGGGAGGTGTGAGTCAGAGTTAAAAAAAAAAAAAGGCTTTCCTAAAAAAAATTGTTTCTTATTACAAATATAAATCTCATCCAGTGGTATTTATCTTAGTCACACATCTAAGAGATCAATAAACAATCTTGGAGTAGTCATCTGAAGTTGTTATAGACTCAGAACCTACTCCTAGTGGTAACCCAGAGAATATTTCACCCAGCAATGACTAATGAAAAACAATGTCCAAAGTCATTCTGCAAATTAATGATGTAAGTAAATCAACAATACCAAAACATGGTGTTGAAAACTTTCATCGAGAATATCAAAGGTATGTTTTAGTAAGTTAAATTTAGACCATTTCAGAAATGGTTCCCTAGTGGCCTAGAGTAAAATTACCACGTACCTGTCAGACACTTGATGGGACCCAGATGCTATGCACTGCCTGGTACTCCTTTTAATTTTTAGTGGTAAAAATAAAAATAGAAGTCGAATTATTCGTTTTGAGATCTGCTTTGTAAAGAGTCATCTCCAAAAAGAAGCTTTTCTAGTACCTGCTCCAAGACATCTCATTCCTGGGCTCCTCCCCCTGATAAATCATGTATGTTTAGGACAACCTATCTAGGAAGAAGTGTCTTGCCTTCAAACATTAAAAGGATAATTCTCCTGAATTACCAGGGGCTGCCTCCTTCCTCAAAGCTGTATATTCTTTACCTTTCTCCAGGATGGTACAATTTGCTGGACTATTCATCTCTCAAACACCCTAACTTTATCTCTTGTAGATAAAATACTTACCACAGGAAACTGTAGCAAACAAACAAATGAAGTAAGCTGCTTGCTTGAATGAAAACATCCTAAAAAAACAACACATACATAAATCTGTTAGTTGGGAATCATATTTAACAGACATTTAACACAAACCTTAATCTTAGATGATACAGATTTTCTTGTAACTGTCTGAGTTACAAATCAAAGCATAAGAATACCAATAGAGAGAGCCAGGACTTTTTAAATTTTTTGTGGATTTTTTTGTTTGTTGGTTTGGTTTTACTTTTTGTCTCTAGGAACTTGGAAAATTTAGAATGCTTCCCAAGATAGAGAATTGAGAGTTTTACACTATTATTGTTACTTTTTCAGCTCTGTTGCTAATAATTTTGAAAAGAGAATTGGTAGGGAAGAATTAAACAGTTGCTAAACCTCTTGACATAAATAAAAATACATTTATTATAATAGCAATAACACCAGTCCATAATCTCTCTGTATGAAAATAGTAAAGCCTCTTTAAAAATGTTAAACCAATCAAATATTGTCTTTGATTTTAAAATGGCATGCATTTAAATATTTCCACATTCAAGAGCATCAGTTTTTTCTAGACTTTCTAAACACTCAGAAAATTAGAATACAAACTAATAGATTCTTCACAAAGTAAAAATTATACTTCAGAAACAAAACACTCTTTGGAAGCAACCAGAATAATAGAAATTTGCTACCTGAAAACACAATTGCTTCTGTGGTTCTGAAGATGAGGGAGTCTCTCGCCACTTAAAATTGAACACTCCTCTAGCTGTTCTTAATGTGGCACGGCAGGCAATATTTGCTTGGCTTCAATATTGACTTTGGGTCGCTGCTAACACTTTCAACTTTTTGTCCTGTCGAAATATTCCCTGAACACCCTCTTCCTGTATTCAGCTACTTAATATATTAACTATTTCATAGAGTAATATCAACAAGATGGCAGAATAGGATTTCTGGCACTCATTCCCTTGTGGAAACATTAGTTTGAACAACAACCCAAGCACAAAATATCTTCCCAAGAACTAAGGAATCTAGATGAGAGGTTAAATTACCTGGTTGGACCACAGAAATAACAAAAAGGCATGTTGAAAAGTGTGGAAAAGACATTCCTCTCAATGAAGGAAAGAGAATAAGGCATATGCCCAATTTTGCTACAGATTTCAGCCCTAAGCCTGCCCTAGTAAATCTCAGGACCAGGGCAGCCACTGCAGAACCAGGCTCCAGGCAGGTTAGGTACCTTCAAACCCAACCTCCAGGCCCACCACATGGGCCCAGCAGCCTCCGGCTTATTTCAGACCAGGAAGACACTGGAGATCCCGATACTCCCCACAAAGCTAAGCTTGAGGCCTACCCCAGCTCCAAGCTTGTCCCTATGACTTCAGAGTCCAGGCTAACTCCTGAAGACCCAGGATTCAGACCCATCCCATCACCACACCTTCCCCAATGAACTCAGGTCCCAGACCAGGCCCAGTGAACCCAGCTGCCAAGCCCACTCCAGTGGGCCCTAGTGGCCATCTGTGGGCTTAGAACAGATACATCTCCATAGATGGAGGGATCAGGTGAGCTCAAAGTCAGGTTGGCTTCTGAAGTTTCCAGCTCAAGATCCCCCCGCCCCAGTGTCAGGTCAACCCTCAAGACTTTAAGCCAGTTCTTCTGCACAGGATCCTTGCAGCCCCACTAAACCTGTTCCCCAGTCATGCTTTTATGGACACAGTGACCAGGCCCACCCCAGTAGGTCCTGGTGCCAGGCTAGCTTCTCTGGACCTAAGATCTAGACCCACCCCTGCAGACCCATGTAGCACGCTATCCTTCCTGACCTCAATAGCAAGCCTGCCCAAGGACCCCATCAGATAGCCCACCAAGAATCTCTGTATGAATTAATAATTAATGGCTTTCTTTGATAAAGTCAATTTTTATAGTCTAAAATAGGTGCTTACTTCTTCAAATGTGAAGACACCCAATATAAGGCTGCAAGGATCACAAATAATCAGGGGAAAATAACACAGCAAAGGAACAAAATGAAGCATCAGAAACTGGCTAAAAAAATAATGTCAGTCTACAAATTGCCTGACTGAGAATTCAAAATAATTATCTTAAATAAATTCAATGACCTGCAAGTGAATACAGCTAGATGACTAAACAAAATCAGGAAAACAATGCAAAAGTAAAATAGGCGGTTCAACAAAGAAAGAATCAGCAAGCTCTGTGACAGTTCCTTTGAAATTAACCAGAGTAACAAAAAGAAAAAAAAGACTAGTAAAGAATGAAGAAAGCCTAAAGGGCTTGTAAGACACAATTAAGAAAATTTATATGCATTCTAAGAATCCCAGAAGGAGCAGAGAAAGAAAAAAAAAAACCCTTTAGATGCTTATTTAAAGAAATAATGAAAATAAAATCTCAAATGTGAAGAAGGATATGAACATCTAGATCCATGAATCCCAAAGACACCCAAATAGATTAAATATAAAGACATCTTCCCCCAATACACGTTTTAATCAAATCATTAAAAGTCAAGGACAAAGAGAATGTTTAAAGCAACCATATACACAACTTGACACATACAAAGATATCTGTATTCCCATCAGGGGAATTCTTAGAAATTTTTTAAGTCAGAAGAGAGTGATATGACATACTCAAAGTACAGTTACCAACTTACGATAGTTCAACTCTTTTCCCTTTACAATAGTGCAAAATTGATACATATGAAGTAGAAATCTTGCTTCCAATATTGAATCTGGACCTTTTCCCAAGCTAGCAATATAAAGTGTAATAATCTCTTATGATGCTGAGGAGCAGCCATGAGATCACCAAGGTAAATAACCAACAATGTACAATGTATCATGTAGTTAAGCAGTGATGTTTGGTAGGTTAGGTGTATCAGATACAATTTTGATTTGTGATTTTTACAGCTTATTGATGAGTTTATTGTGATTTATCCCGTTTTACGTCAGGAGCATCTGTACTGAAAGGGGGAAAAAAAAACTCTGTCAAACAAGAATACTATACCCAGCAAAGCTGTCTTTCAAAAGTGAGATGGACTTTTCCCAACAAATAAAAGCTATGGAAGTCATTATCACTAAACTTGCCTTGCAAAATATGCTAAAGGGAGTTCAATCGTTGAAAAAAAAGGACACTAAGAAAATAAAAACATATGAATGAATAAAACTCAATATAAAGGTAAGAATTGATCAAATTCAGAATGCTGTATTACTGTAGTGGTTGTGCAAAAATCTCTTTCAACTCTAGTAAAAGCTAAAAAAACAAATACTAGAAATAACTATAGTTATAATAATTTGTCAGTGGTTACATAATATATATAAGGTATAAATTTTAATATGAATAACATAAAATGTGGGGGAAGCAGAACTTAAAATGTAGAGTATATCTATAAAACAGAAGTTAAGCTGTTCTCAGTCTAAAATAGAAGGTTATACCAATAATATAAACATGAAAAAAAATTACTTTTAATAGATCCATGAAAGATAAAGAATCAAAGCATAGCAGTATAAAAAATAATCAAATCACAAGGAACGATATACAAAACAGAAAAAAAAATAACAAGATGGGCAGCACTAAGTTTTTACCTATCAATAATTACATTAAATATATTTATGGATTAAATTCTATAATCAAAAGACATAGTGGCTGAATGGATTTTTTTTTTTAATTATGTAATTTGGAGACCAGAGGAGGAAGCTCAACCCCACCCCACGCGCTAGTCCGGAGGAAGCCCATCAACCCTTAAAACCCATCAAAGGGGGTGTGGCTACCAGCACGGTTCTGCGGCTGATCCAGGTACCCGGTTTCCAACTCCCCCACCCTTAGCTGCGATAACTCAAAATATTTCCCACAAGCTTTTGGGGGTCGTAGCTATCAACACAAAACAACAACTGTACAGGCACCTGGTTTCCACCTCAGAGACTAGAATAGGGAAGATACAGGTGGAAGCTCATGTCCTTTCACACTGGCTACATCCACCACCCTGAACACAGAGGCTCAAGCTAGGAATAGACAACGCCACCTACTGGAAGCAAGGAAAACAGAGTTCTGAGAGACTTTTTTTTTTCTTTCTTTTCTTCTCTCTTTCACAACCTCAACATATGTGAAACCAAGAACTGTGCATGAACAACCAAATCACCAAAATAATATAATATAGAGGAATTGCATATGCCCCACCTTCCCCCTTTTTTCCCCTTATTTCTTTCTACTTTCTTTTTCCTTCTCTCTTTTTTCTCTTTTCTTCCTTGTTATTTTTTTCCTTTTCTTCATTCTTACTCCCTCTATCCCACTTTCAACCCCTAACTTTTACTATCTATACATAGGGTAACTATCTAAATACAGATAGGAGGTTGAGTCTATACATTCTTCCATAAATTACCAGTCTATTGGTTAGAGTTCTCCAAAGTTGCTAAGTTAGTTTAACCTCATACCCTCACTCCTTTCCCTCCAAGTATAACATCCTTCATCTGAAATTCAGTTTTCTATATGCCACCAGATATAGTATGCCTTTTATGAAACTAATGACTATATTTTAAAATAATAATTGAAACCAATATCTGTAGACTTATATTCTAACTATAAATGTATTAATAATGAAAACTTGTGCTTAGATGATGTACTGTTGATATTGGGAACTGTTAACATTGTCTTTCTCCGCAAAACAGGGATTTTGAAGCTATACAAGAACAATATAAATATAGAAGGGGAAAACCATTAACACAACAGTTTCACAAAACTAGAAAGAAACATGAGCAGTATAAAAAGACAAGGAAAGAAAGGACCACAAACAATGCAGGACAATTCAACATTAGAACACGTAATATCTGCAGCTGATGGAATGTCAGATAAAGAGTTCAGGATATACATGCTTCAGATGATCTGGAGTCTCAAGGAAAACATTAGACAGCAAAATCAGACAATGAAAGATCACTTCGACAATGAATTACATAAACAAATCCAAGAAGCAAAAGATGAACTCTAAAGGGAGATAGAGGATATAT